GAAACTACTGAAGCTCTTATCCAGTCGGTAGTTCAAGGTCTTAGGATATTAGTTGAGGTACGTGTTAGTTGGCTCAGATACCCCTAATCATAAAAAAAAAAACATAAATTTGTGTCAAATTATAAAAAAATAAATACTGGGATTTTTAATGTTTAATTGTTTTTCTTTTGTGTATCATATATGCCAACAATTCAATTTTTGTTTCTCATGTTATAATTTTACCTTTAATTTATACTATATTTGTGTTAATTGGGATGCAAACATTACATGATTTCCAAGTATTCCAATGTTTATGATGTTAAATTGATTGTTTTAACTATCTCTGGGTGGTTGAACTGTTCGATAAGGATTCTTGTGTGTATTACTTAAGAGATAATACGTTTGAATCTCTTCTTGGGTGTTAATAAAAATAGCCAATGAAACTCTTATCCGATTGGTAGTTTCAGATCCAGAGGATCAGTCGAGATGTCCATAAGCTAGTCCAGACATTCTTGCTCATCAAAAAAGAAAACTAAAATATTGATTGTGTTACGAACAAGGATATGTAATATTATCTAGTTAAGATAGGGATTAGGTGTTGTTCCTATTCAAAAATCTGAAACCAAAACCAGAAATTTGGCTTTATATACAATATAATTAGCTACAAGTCGGATGCTAAATGACAATGAAATGAATATCATAATATTGGAGTGCCCTTATCAACTGTCTCTATTTGTCCAAAACCAAACCAAAATTAATAAGCTTGACTCACTCTTCGATGAACATATCGAATACCCAATTATAATTGTTCTTGTGGTCCTTTCACTTCGAATATAATGAAGTTTGCTAATGTTATCCATTAAGTATTTTATTAATTACTTGTCAATTAAATATTTTTGACGATGCTAGCTATCATGATCTCCTCGCTCATCAACTTAATTTTTCCTTCCTTCAACGGATAAATAAATTACACACCCTTCCTTCCCTATTTTTATTTTTTGTTTAAGTCAACTTATATACACCTTAACTAATCATTTAAAACTTTAGCTAATCTTTCTAAAATTATCAGTCATGTAAGAACTCTTGTGGTTATCCTATTAACAACTGAGGAGAGTTCAAAATCAAGACCTCTTGAATAATATACTTTAAGAGGTTTTATCAAATCACTCGATCATTTAGAGATAGTTACGTTCACGTCTCTTTATGAAAATCTTTTCATAGCTTGAATAAATCTTTAGTAATTTTTTTTGGAGAGGTTTTAGCTATAATGCTTCAACCATGAAACTAGTTTTGTCTTTTTTAATTTGTTGGATGCAACTAACAACTTAATTAATATCTTGTGATAAATTTTTTGTATTGATTTCTTTTATTTTTTAGAGAAATTTTCCGGGTTGTTTCTTCCTGCTAGTTAGTTAATACCTATCTAATCATAGGTCAATTAATGAACTTCTGATTGTCAAACACTTTAAGTTAATTAAATCCTTGTGTCCAAATCCACCGGCAATCAACAACACAGGCACAAATTTTATCATAAGGATGCTATCTTGAAAATTTCCTGGAATCGTCACTTAAAATTATAGGAAATAATTTAATTATATTTCACCATACAAAATAGATAAGACTGAACTTCGTGGTCAATAAGAACAGTATTACAAAAGTTTGGATCGTATTTTAAAATTGATAATTATAATGAAGAATAATGGTTAGCCTTACCAATACCACCATGATATCATCGACTATTATTTGTTGGTTCCTGGGATTATAATATGCTGCCACAGTACCGTTAGATTATTTGATAATGTGATCAAAATAAATAATAATAATAATAATAATAATTGAATCCATCTCGTTTTGAGGATCCTTAATCTCAGAAACCAAGACTGATCAAACAAAAGAGACAAAATAATGCTTTGGCTGGCTATGAATGGCGGATGCATTGAACTTTTAATCAATCATGAAAGAAACGTTTCAACTTCCCATTTAAATATTAAATTTAAGGTGAGATANGAGTCTAAGTCCACTATAGGTGTTGAGTTCGCTACTCGTAGTTTGAATGTTGATGGCAAGGTCATCAAGGCTCAGATTTGGGATACTGCTGGCCAAGAAAGGTTAGACCTTTACTTGTTTTTTCACTCTAATTCTGCTTTTTCTGATCTGGGTATCCTCTGTCCTTTTAGCATGTCAAAATTTGGGTTTTTTAATTTAGGTTGTGATCTCGATTTGAGTTGAATGATGCTTAGTTTTAGATCTTTTGGGTTTTTTATGTTTTAGTTTTTTATGATCTGGGTTGTTTCTGTTATGTTTTTTCAAAGTTTTGGTCTTTTGATTAGTTGAGAATCTTGAGATAACTGTCATAAGGAGAGAAATTCAACATTAGAATTTTAAACATTTGACGGTATGTGGTGCTGGCATCTAAGATTTAAAAAACACATCTCGAGTTAGATTTCAAGTTTGGTGTTATAGTGATGCATTTGATTTTAGCTGATCTGAAAGGTCCTGCTTTTGTTGCGGTTAAATTGCGATCTTTAGTTAGAGTTTTTGTAATATTCATCGTTTTGGGCAGATCAGAGTTCTATTTTTTGGTTGACTGGATTGGTTGCTTGATCTCTGTGTACTCTGTATTATTACCGTGATGATGGTAATGTTTAAGTTCTTATTAGATGGGGATGTCTTTGTGCAGAAGCTGGTTTGCATTTGTTTTACTCTATGTGCCTCAGTTGCAGAGGCTGATTTATGCGATACTGGTTAGAAACTTGAGTCATATATTTCACCTGCAGTTGCGTAGTTTGTGGTCAGTAGTTCATGTAAGCTGATTTATTTCCTCTACGTTTACGTATCTATAACTTTGATGTTGCATGACTCAATACCCAATTATTGTTGCTCAATTTCAAGTTCATGTCTATTTGTTGATGGTGCTAAGTCAAATTGGCTTCTTGGGTTTGATTCTGTGTGGTTAGATTCTTGGCTTTTGGAGTCTTTCTGTAGGTATAGTTTTGTAGTTAATGTCTTCATTTTGCATTATGTTTATTGCACACATAGGTAAAAGAGTGATTATTCTGGCATGTGAAAGAGAATGGATTTTCACTCTGAATACTCTTGATGCATTGAACTAAGTGCTTGGTAAGTGACTTTGTTAGAATTGGTTTGCAAGAGTTAAATGTGAGATTCATCATTATTAGAAAATTTATCTTTTTTTCATGGAGGATTGGTGGGAAAAACTTGAATTTTCTTTTGATTTAGGTTTCAATTCATCATTATTAATACTTCTATTTGCTGAAAAAGAAAATGAGTTGAAGGATGAGAAGAATGACTGCAGATTGGGAATTTTAGTATTTTAGAATGAATGAAAGTTTATAGTCACAGAATTCAGTGTCACACTATTTGGATCACGATTTTGTTTTACTGGAGACAGAGCTTTATGGCATTTTCACCTGTGAGACTGATGAAATTTCGGTCTAATGCATAATTGATTCAAGAAAGTCTGTATCGACGTCCTATTTTTCTTGTGTTGTGTACAGCAAAAAATTGTCAATAATGTCCTCAAAAGTTGGAGTGCATGTGGCAATTTAAGATTGGTGAAGTTTAGGGAGGCTTCTAACTTGATTGACGAGTTAATTTTTAGATATAACCTTGTACACACTTTAGTGAGATTAACTTTGTTTTCCTTGATTGCAAATTCCATTTTTTTCTACAGAACTCTGGGCATGCCCAAAGAAAATATATTTTTCAATTAAACTCAAATTAGAAACCTTACCTTCTCTACTTCGCTCGTTTCTAGAATTGTTTTGGAAACGGTGTAGGAATTTGGAGGCTTGAATTCTCCTTCAAATTCTGTTCACATATCATTTTCTGTCTTAAAACTTCAGCTGAGGAATTATTGCTGGTCTCATCTTTGCCCCGCGTAAGCCTGCTGTAATTGCGATCACTATGACCACACCACCCTACTGTAACCTACCAAATGCATTGTAACCTCTTGCACTGCCACAACCTGTGTTTTGACTTCAGTGACAACCATCACCTCCGTTTACAATTTCGGATCTATTCCACCTTCAATTCAATTGTCATTCCTCAATTGAGTATCATATGACTGATGCTACCATTCTGCCACACAATTCTGCATCAACACCGCCGCCATCCAGACTGTAGTACCCAAAATCATATGCCTCCATTTGCAGCTTTTAGCATCACCATTAACCTATTGTTTCCTTTCCAACCCCCTTCTATTACCTTTACCATCACCATTGCTCACACATTTTCTGAAGCAAAGTCATGGCCTTGAAAACCAGAGTTTGTAGCTTGCCATGACCTTATTTTTTATTTGGAGTACTAGGAGGGCAAAAAAGATGACTTTCTTGAGGAATTTCTATGCCTGTACTTTAGGTTTTACATCCCTTATAACTTGTGCTCCCTTTCAACTTTTCCTGGAATTGCTGGACTACTAATTAGTAAACCTTCATTTTCTTTCAAATAATTACTTTTTTCTTTTGGACTTTCACTTGTATGCAGGTCATGTTATAAGTTTTTGTTACGAATTAATGCTTTAAATTTACAGACAAAAGACATGTTAGCGAAAGGCAGTTCAGAGAAATTCTATTGCTATGACTTTGTAATGTCTCAATTTTTGTCTTCAATCAACGTAAATGTTCTCCAGTTACTTGACTGGTATTTCAAGTATCAGTGTTAATCATGTGCAGTTGTTTCTATGGGAACTGACAGGAATTGTTATCTATAGGGAAATTGCTGACATTCAGTGGGGATTACAAATTAGATGCAGTTATCTTATTATTGATTTGTGTGTATTAAATCATATTGGATGTCAAAGAGACAATATCTCTGATTTGATATTGAGTTAGATTCAATAAGTCAACAACTAATAATGCTTTTGCAAATTAATAATGGTATCCCAAATAGTATTTCTTTCGTTGATAACGATGAGAAGATTGGGTTTGATATGAACTCAATATATGGGTTGATTGGCTTGTGATACCCATTTGGGTTTGCAGATTTGTTCTTGCTTATCAATGAAGCTCTTTGTTTTTGTTGTTATGTTTACCTTGGTTTCAATTGTTGAGTTTGACTTTGAAGTCAGTGTCTTCATTGCCAATCTCTGTCATGTGAACTCATCTCTTGGGTTTCACAGGTACCGTGCCATTACCAGTGCTTACTACCGGGGAGCTGTTGGTGCCCTTCTGGTGTATGATGTCACCCGGCACTCTACTTTCGAAAATGTAGAGAGGTGGTTAAGGGAGTTGAGAGATCACACAGATCCCAACATTGTGGTCATGCTCATTGGTAATAAATCAGATCTCCGCCATCTTGTTGCTGTCTCAACTGAGGATGGAAAATCTTTTGCTGAAAAGGAATCTCTCTTCTTCATGGAAACATCTGCCCTTGAGGCTACTAATGTGGACAATGCATTTGCTGAAGTTCTGACTCAAATCTATCGTATTGTGAGCAAGAAGGCTATGGAGACTGGTGATGATGGAGCTGCATCCGCTGTACCGTCGAAAGGTGAGAAAATTGATGTCAGTAAAGATGTTTCTGCTGTGAAGAAAGGTGGCTGCTGCTCAAGCTAGGATTTTGAATTATTTTGAATGGGTGTGGCTGCTTTGTCTGGCTGCATCTGTTCTCTCTACAGCATCATTGTGTAAAATTTTCTAAAAGATGCCGATAGTAGGAGAGAAGGCATGGATTATTTTTCATTCATATTCAAAATTTTTCCCGATGATTGTTGTTTTTGGCTGACTAAGAGCTTAAGTAGGAGCAGCGAATTATAGTTGCTTTTGGTTAGGTATTAAGTGGATATTACAAAAAAAATTGCACTAAGAAATTGTTGATTTAGATTAAGATTCAGATTCAGTCGTTATTTAAATCTTTTTAGTGTCGTTCGGAAACTCTTATTATGTTACTTGTGAACTTAAGCAGACAGCATATCTTCTGAACTCTGCTACCTATGTGTGTTAAAAGGTGAACGATATCTGGTTTGACTGGGAGCAATTGTTTTTAAGAACCTTTTGAATTTCTAATGTCTATACTATATGAATCATGTTTATCTTGATTCTTATTAAAAGTTAGTTTATTGGGTATTTTATTTATATTCGGAAAAATGATTTGAGTGTTGCAGATTACTGACTTTGGTTCTTGAATCTTGATGCTCAAAGTAGAATCTGTGAATATCAAAGTAGTATTCAGTGTTCACTGCAGGCTCAAAGTGGAATCTGATTTCTGAGTATGCATGTTTCTAATGTTTACTGTTTAGTAAGCAAAAGCAGGGTTTTAAAACCTAGTCTGACCCGGCTGGTTGAACTGGGACACACGGCTTTCATGAGATTAGGTTACAAATTTTCTTATTCATTAAAAACCTTGAAAATTAGTACATCAATCCATTAACAATTGAAGGTTAGAATGTTAGGGCTTTTGAAGAGGAATTGTCTGTGAGTGCAATGGTCGTTATGACAGTGATTTCGAGTGAGTGAATCGACTAGAAATCGTAAAACTATGTTGACGATCGGGGAGGCGAATGAGGGAAGGGTGAGATGGGTTTTGGTTAAGAGGTTGAGGGGAGTGTTTTCATAGTGATGGAGAGTGTTATCATTGAAAACAGACTTTATTTGTTGATGGCGACGATGGTGTTTGGGGGTGTTTTTGTAAGATTTTAAACTTATAGAAACTTACAATAATTTTTAGGGGTATTTTTATTAGAGTTAAAACTTTTAGACACCAGTCAAACCGGGATCCGGCCACTTTGCCAGGTTTCACCTCTGGTTTGGTTTTAAAACACTAAGCAAAAGTATCAATGTTTGCCTTTCTGGGTCATCGTACTTATGAATATTGAACATGATTTTCCATTCGTTTTGAACAGCATATCTGTTTGTCTCATAACTGACTCTTCTTTTACATTACTTCTTAGCAGTGTTATTGCATGCCCAAAATGAAAAAAAAAAATTACAAGACCAAGTTTATTTACCTATCTATATTTGACGAAGCAGTGGGCATTGCAGAGGTGAAGTGTTCTGTAAAACTAAGCAAGAATTTGACTATGGATATTCCTGAATCTGAGTTTGGAATTGACCGTTAAACTAACCAAAAACCTAAAAGATTAAAGACACGAAGCTTTTGTCAAATTCAATCATTGTGGTCTTGGATTTTAGTTACACGTTTAAGTTCCATTTCTTCAATTTCGCTTCAAACTCTTTGGATGGTTAATGGCTGTCTTAAATGTTCACACATGGTAGCTGAGCCTGAGGCAGTTAGCTTTCACAAACAGTTAACGCAGATGGTTTAGCTGGCATTAATCTTAATTTATGTATCCCTATGCAATAATGGATAAGACAGAAGACTTTTTCTTCGATTATTAAATTATAATATAATAAGAAAACTTCAACTTTAATATCTCCTGCTGCAACCACTCCCTGGATTTTAATATTTTATATATTTTCCTTAGCAAGTTAGCCAAAGATTTAAGAGAAGATAAGTTGAGTAAATTATGATAAGATTTTTCTCTCTTCTTCAAGTATATAATAAATGAATACATCTCACATTAAATGAAAACAGCGGTGCAGTAAAGAACGTGGTGGAAAATTTATTTAATCATCAACTAAAAGTCAAAGTTTTGGATTGATTTGACCTTTTACAGGTGTGGGTGGGCGAATCATATGAATCACATCCAATCAAGTAATTAGAATCTTGTATAATAACATTTGAGAGTCCAACATGGTATTATTCTGAAACTGACAAAAATCCAGACGCCCACCAAATAATATTCATCGCCCAACTCATTTCAGACTCCCAGCCCCAGGTCTCGTTTTCCAGGATCTTGTTTTACACTATGGCTCCTCTTCTTTGAACGCCAAGGTTTTTTCTTAATTGTTTCAATCGTGGTATTTTTTTTTCTTTAACCTAATAAGAGTTAATTAAACTTAATATCTCTTGATTGATAAATCCAATAATCTATATCAAACCACATAATCCAATAATATTTTTTCAATCATTATATACCAATCATTCAAACTCATGTAACACGAACAGGGGAGACTTTGAGTCTCACATCATGGTTGATACCAGAGAATTATAAGAAAATAAAAAATAAGCTTTCCTTTTGTAAATTATAATGCAAGATTTTTTTTCATAAAAAATAAAACATATTACCATTAATTTCAATTTTAGTTATGTCAGTTTGAGATTTTGATGAAAATATGAATGGAGACACTTGAGAATTTGACAATGGACGGCTATGATGCAAACTACAACAACATCACGACATAATTTGGAATCGGAGGCTTTATTTTTATTCATTTACTACACTGAAATCAAAGCCAAGAGATATATTTAATATAAAAACAACTTAAAAATTATAAAAATCAAGAGAAAAAAAATGTTTCCCGATTGTTTTTTTCCTGTTATCTTGTAGTGCACGATACGCACACCGTTGAAAAATTTACCAGCGGACACGTGTCAGCAGATCTGGACCTCCGGTCCAAAATTCCTATGACGAAACACCGTCGAACACTCCGGTAACTCGCCAAGATCGGCGAACAACGACTCATCTTCTTCTCTCATAGGGAAAAACATCGCCACGTCAGACGAATCGCCAACACAGGACTCCGTAAAAATCGGACTCTCTAAAATGGTGGACGTCGTGGTTTCCATCTCGCCAAACCACGTGAATTCGTCGGCGCTAGTTGATATAAGCGTGTGATCATCAGCAAGATCTGAGAACTTCTCCTCGGGCTCAGGCTCAGGCTCGGGCTCGGGCTCGGGCTCGGGTTCAGGATCGGGCTGGGGCTCCGGTTTGGCGTGCTTGGAACTGTTGTTGTGGTGGTGGTGGCTTCTAGAAGGTAACGGCCAAGGATGGTTGTGTTCGCAAGAGTAGGTGATGACTAGCATGGTGGGATCCACACTGCTTCTCTCTACTTGTTTTCTTGCTGGACATCCTTTTGAGCTACTACATCTATAGTATCCTCTGTAATGAAAGGTAAAAGCAAACTTTAATTAATTAATTAGTAAAAGTTAATACTTTGATTAATNAAAATTTACCAGCGGACACGTGTCAGCAGATCTGGACCTCCGGTCCAAAATTCCTATGACGAAACACCGTCGAACACTCCGGTAACTCGCCAAGATCGGCGAACAACGACTCATCTTCTTCTCTCATAGGGAAAAACATCGCCACGTCAGACGAATCGCCGACACAGGACTCCGTAAAAATCGGACTCTCTAAAATGGTGGACGTCGTGGTTTCCATCTCGCCAAACCAACTGAATTCGTCGGCGCTAGTTGATATAAGCGTGTGATCATCAGCAAGATCTGAGAACTTCTCCTCGGGCTCAGGCTCAGGCTCGGGCTCGGGCTCGGGCTCGGGTTCAGGATCGGGCTGGGGCTCCGGTTTGGCGTGCTTGGAACTGTTGTTGTGGTGGTGGTGGCTTCTAGAAGGTAACGGCCAAGGATGGTTGTGTTCACAAGAGTAGGTGATGACTAGCATGGTGGGATCCACACTGCTTCTCTCTACTTGTTTTCTTGCTGGACATCCTTTTGAGCTACTACATCTATAGTATCCTCTGTAATGAAAGGTAAAAGCAAACTTTAATTAATTAATTAGTAAAAGTTAATACTTTGATTAATTAACAGATTTTAATTTGAAGTTGAAGAATTGTTTGTGTTAATGTTAGTACTGACCTGGGATAAGGGGAACCTTTGATGGGTTTCTGGCCGTACTTCCGCCATGCCCAGGAATCAGACGGCGGAGCGCTGTCGCCTTTGAGTCTTGAACCTTCAACGTCCTTGATGGGTACTGATACAACTCTCTTTTGCATGGCTCGCCTGCTGAATTAAACAACAAATTCTTCATATTATTAGTTAACAATCATATCACTAATTCTGCTTAATTAAGCTGAATATATTTATATATACATATAGAGGGGGAGAGAGAGAGAATTAGAGCTGACTTTTTCTTGGGGGAGGAAGTAGAGGTGGTCTTCATGTCGTTGAACGTAGAAGAAGGAGGAGATTCCGAGCCACTCTCCGGTATAGTATCTTCCTCTTGTTCACTGATAAAGGGGTTGTTGGAGCTAAACCTGGCGTCCATGATTAATAAAAACTCTTACTGATAAATGTCTTCAGTTCGTTTGTAACGTTAGAATATGAAAAAGTGATTGAAGAGAAAGAGAGAGAGAAGAAGAAGAAGAGATCGGGAGAAGGTGATGAAGGGAGGAAGGAGGTGGTTTAAAAATGAGGCATCATGTTGACAGATAGGTTAGAGAGAGAGTATTATAGTTAATTTTCAGGGATTAGTTTATAAAGGACGTGCAAGCAAATGTGATATAAAACCCTACAATTATTATTATTATTATATATTATTATTATTATATATTATTAATCAACTTGAAAACAACCCCTTTCTTTTTATTTTAATCCCCCATTGATTGATTGAGTTTCCATTTACCACTTCTCCTCGTTTTTTGTTTATACTTGATAATAATAGCCCAACCCCAACCACTACTCAATAACCCCACCATGCCGCCCTCACATTCCAATATTCTTTTTCATTTCTTTTTTCTTTTATGTTCATTAGATTTCTCATCTTTTTTCTTTGCAAATTAAATATCAACTACCTTTAGGTGATCGAACTATATGATAAAGACTCTTAGATATATTATTCAAGAAGTCATAAGTTTACGTCAATCCTCGATTGCTAATAAGGAAACTACTGAAGCTCTTATCCAGTCGGTAGTTCAAGGTCTTAGGATATTAGTTGAGGTACGTGTTAGTTGGCTCAGATACCCCTAATCATAAAAAAAAAACATAAATTTGTGTCAAATTATAAAAAAATAAATACTGGGATTTTTAATGTTTAATTGTTTTTCTTTTGTGTATCATATATGCCAACAATTCAATTTTTGTTTCTCATGTTATAATTTTACCTTTAATTTATACTATATTTGTGTTAATTGGGATGCAAACATTACATGATTTCCAAGTATTCCAATGTTTATGATGTTAAATTGATTGTTTTAACTATCTCTGGGTGGTTGAACTGTTCGATAAGGATTCTTGTGTGTATTACTTAAGAGATAATACGTTTGAATCTCTTCTTGGGTGTTAATAAAAATAGCCAATGAAACTCTTATCCGATTGGTAGTTTCAGATCCAGAGGATCAGTCGAGATGTCCATAAGCTAGTCCAGACATTCTTGCTCATCAAAAAAGAAAACTAAAATATTGATTGTGTTACGAACAAGGATATGTAATATTATCTAGTTAAGATAGGGATTAGGTGTTGTTCCTATTCAAAAATCTGAAACCAAAGCCAGAAATTTGGCTTTATATACAATATAATTAGCTACAAGTCGGATGCTAAATGACAATGAAATGAATATCATAATATTGGAGTGCCCTTATCAACTGTCTCTATTTATCCAAAACCAAACGAAACCAAAATTAATAAGCTTGACTCATTCTTCAATGAACACATCGAATACCCAATTATAATTGTTCTTGTGGTCCTTTCACTTCGAATATAAATGAAGTTTGCTAATGTTATCCATTAATTACTTTATTAATTACTTGTCAATTAAATATTTTTGACGATGCTAGCTGTCATGATCTCCGCACTCATCTACTTAATTTTTCCTTCAACGGGTAAATAAATTACACACCCTTCCATCCTTACTTTTATTTTTTATTTGAGTCAACTTACGTACATCTCAACTAATTATATCATATTAGCAATAAAAGTGAATATAAAATCAAAACCTCTTAAATAATATACCATAAGAATTTTTATCAAATCACTCGATCATTTAGAGATAATTATCTTCATGTCTCTTTATGAAAATCTTTTCATACCTTGAATAAATCTTTAGTAATTTTTTGTTGGAGAGGGTTTAGCTAGAATGCTTCAACCATAATACCATTTTTGCCTTTTTTAATTTGTTGGATGAGTCGAGTAATTAACAACTTAATTAATATCTTGTGATGAATTTTTTGTATTGATCTCTTTTATTTTTCTGAGAAATTTTCCGGGTTGTTTCTTCCTGCTAGTTAGTTAATACCTATCTAATCATAGGTCAATTAATGAACTTCTGATTGTCAAACACTTTAAGTTAATTAAATCCTTGTGTCCAAATCAACCGGCAATCAACAACACAGGCACAAATTTTATTATAAGGATGCTATCTTGAAAATTTCCTGGAATCGTCACTTAAAATTATAGGAAATAATTTAATTATATTTCAGCATACAAAATAGATAAGACTGAACTTCGTGATCAAAAAGAACAGTATTGCAAAAGTTTGGATCGTATTTTAAAATTGATAATTATAATGAAGAATAATGGTTAGCCTTACCAATACCACCATGATATCATCGACTATTATTTGTTGGTTCCTGGGATTATAATATGCTGCCACAGTACCGTTAGATTATTTGATAATGTGATCAAAATAAATAATAATAATAATAATAATAATTGAATCCATCTCGTTTTGAGGATCCTTAATCTCAGAAACCAAGACTGATCAAACAAAAGAGACAAAATAATGCTTTGGCTGGCTATGAATGGCGGATGCATTGAACTTTTAATCAATCATGAAAGAAACGTTTCAACTTCCCATTTAAATATTAAATTTAAGGTGAGATAATTTTAAAAATTGATTAAACAAAATTAAGGAATCTATAAATTAAATATCGGATGCCAACAGAAATCATAATAGAGTTAACGGTATTTTCTCACTCAAATAATGATTTAATGACACTTTTGTATCTACATACTTTTAAAATATCATTTTATTACTCTAATTTATATTTTAGTAGCAAACAGAAAGCAAACTCGTCCAGATTATTAGGCCTTTTGAAAATGAGAGGCTAATGAGTATTTTGATAGTAAAATATTAGATTTTAGTGGTTAGAATTGATCGAAATTTGATTTGGGAGGGACGGCTACATAAATCCCAATCACTCAATTGTAAGCAATTGATGAGATCGACAAGAGTAAGGTTTGAGAGTTTTTAGTGAATGATGATAATGGAAGAAAATTGTGGTAATATAGGATCATAATGTCGGAATCAGAAATAAAATATAAATTTAGATAATGGAATGGTATTTTAAAATTTTATAGCTAAAAAAGTGTGAAAAAAGTCAATCTACTCTTCGTGAAAAGATCATTTCTGTAGAATCCAGAATTCTTGAAGTTTGGCATTGTTCAAGAATATAAAAATACAATTGACTAAGTCAGTCATTGATCTTTCTGTCTCTCTCTAGTGGGAAAACGATTGAATAGCCAATTGGGTAAATTTTATTCCAACATAAAAAATTGAGTTTTCTAGGGTTCATTGATGCGTGAAGCAATGTGACTGAGTTATATTAAAAATTTCTACAACTGGGGATGATTTTTCTATTATTAAAAAAAATCAGTCATGAATGACTTCAAATAATAATAAAGCAATTTCTGACTTTCCCTTCACCTACGGCATCTTTCATGCTCTCTAATACAAAATTAAATTATATTCAAACCAGTCAATATTATTACATTTTCAAGGAACAGAAACTTCCTCATTGCTTCCTTTCTCACAATTGAATCTCAATCTCTTGGAACTCCCTCCTAACACCCAACATATGCTTTTCCTACACGACATAAACCTACTTTTTAACTTAATTTAGTTTTGATGAATGATAATACACATTCTAACATTATCAGATTAACGCTAATTTTCTATCACCCCAGTGGAATGTAGTTCACATGTTGTCCTGATCCGTGTAATCTGGGATTTCAAACTACACCAATTAATCCTGGGGCGGGCTCGAGGTGGAGTGGTATATATTTATGTACTTGCTTATATAATTATATTGATCTATCATTTATGTTACCTAAAAGCATCTTTTTCCACCCAAATAATGGTTTAAACACACTTTTTCACTTATAAATTTTTAAAATATTATTTTATTACCTAAATTTATATTATGACGGTGAATAAAGAGCCAACTCAGTTCAGGCTCTTGAAACTTTTAAAAAGAGGAGATCGATGAGTTTTTTAGTGGTAGAAGGTTGGATTTTAGTAATTGAAATTGATCAAAATTTGACTTGAGAAGGACGATTGTGTTAACCCTAATTGCTTGATTATTGAAGATTGGCGAGGTCAACAAAAATAGGATTTGAAGAGTTTTGCTAAGTGATAATCAGAAAAGATAATGGTAGTGGTGTAGGGTCGCAATGATGCCAAAATTGAAAACAGAATATATTTAAACAGTAAAATGATATCTTAAAAATCTAGGAGTGGAAAAGTGTCATTAAACCATTATGTGGGTGAGAAAGGTAGTTTACTCTGCATAAAAAATATCGGACTTTAGAAGAGATGATTTAGAAACTACGACACCAACTATCTGTCAAGCCAATTCAATGAAGGCAGAAGGATTAATATGGTAATTAATTATATATCAGGAAGCATGATTGTTGGAAAAAAAAAAAAAAAAAAAAAAGAAGATCAGTATCAGCCCAAAATGCATTTAATTTCCCCAATTCTTAGCATCAAAATTGCTTTAGTTGCTACAAATTTACTCTTTAATTAAATGAAGACAATCGAAAAATTTAATGTATGATAAATGGTATCGCAACATTAATAAATTATCTAGGCGATACTCTGATCAGACAGCTTGTAAAAGACAATTAACACGATGGTGGGGTCAATGTAAACTTACCATATTCCGAAATTAAAGGAAATTTTTTTATTAAAACTGTAATTATTGTCTTAATCTGACAAATTTGTGAGTAACATCAGTGGATTAAACTAATAATAGACGGTCAAGATGATTACGACATCTAATCTAGACTTCAATTTATCTTTAGGATTTTTGCTCTTTAATTTATATACATGCATTGACCATCACCGCCTTGAATCTTGATTAAGTGTAATCAAATTTTATTTTTTTTTCATCTAAAAAATTTCAAAATACTATATTTTCACCCAAAGTTAATATTATGTTATTATCTAAAGTCAATTTTAGTGATAAAAATTTTCTCTGTTACCACCATTTGAACTTCTAGTCTCTTTTCTATAAAATTTTTCTTATTTCAGTATCTGATTTCTCGTTGATTATTGGCCATCGCAAAATTAAAATTTCTTATTCTTAACTAATTTTCAGTTAATTCTGATAATGAATGTTCAATTGGTTACCACCGTTCAATTTACTGACCTCCACTTTACAAAAAAAGTTCTAACTCTGGCTCTTGGTAAATATTAAAATAATATAAATATTGGATGAGAAAATTTTATTAGGCAAACCTTGGGGTGGGCAAAAGCCGTTTACTCTCCTGATTAATTACCCTATCCCTTTGTCATTCAATTTAATAATTTAAATTAATTTCACCGCCCAGTCCTTGCTAATAAGATGGCTGCAGGCCAGGCCTGACGAAAGTATCAGCCAATTGAAACTAGATAGCCTTCGCTTTTACAATGGTTTTATGAAAGTTCCTTTGACTTATACATTAATGCCCATAACGTTATATGCTGATCTAAAAAAAGGTTTTATGCAAGGGTGATAAGACGTTGACATGATCTGTCAATACTATACTAATACAATCTGTTTTCAAGGTTAAGCTTAGTTCAATTCAACAAACTAGAATCGATAAATAGTGACACGATTAGATACATCATACAATGGTTCATGTCGACCTATTCATAACAATATTCATTCATAATTTACAATTAAACGGGTTATATATTCGGGTTGATTAAGACCTTTTTATAATTTATTTACATGATAAAAATACAACCCATCAGCCCATTTTACCGCTCCTAGTTTTAAAAAAATTCAAAAAAGAAAAAAGGAAAAAAAAGAGATACCCTTGTTGTATTGTCGTAAATGAGTAATTTTTTGTTTTTAACAGACTTCTATGCATTAATCAAACTGATCATTCTTTTCAAGATCTAAGTGAAGAGATTAATACTAAATTTTTACTTCATTGCAAGAGATGTAACAATATATAGTTTCCAGTGTATAATTAGGGTGCCGCAAGAAGACATTGCTATTGTAATTATAATTATAAGTTGGTTGTAAAAATTATTTTTCTCTTAAACTAAAAATTTAGCACTGAACCCGAAGGGGTTAGTTTGACGATTAATGAGGTTTATTCCATTTTTTGAGTTTTTAGGTTCAAATCTTAGGATTATTAACCACATTGTGACTTATTTGGTCATTTGGGCTTTTAAAGTGTTTAATGGATTTTGAAAATTAGTTGAGGTGTGTACAAACTGGTCTGGACACTCTAATTATTAAAAAAAAAAAAAAAAAAGTTTAGCACTGCATCACTTAATACGCTTACATTAATTCCACCCATTCTCTATCGAATTTGGTCAAATTTGTAGAGCTATGTTAGACTTTTATGATGATATCCACATGGTACTACTACCGAATGGTTTGAAATTGAAGCGCTATCAAAGCGAAACTCTACCTAAACTTGTGGAAAATGACACCATTCAGCTTAGTTACGTGGCCTCCTTTTCCCTTTTTCCAGTGAAACTATATAACTGATTAACCACTTAGTCTGAACCCCTGGCCAATCAATATTATTTTTTATATATTAAGTTTGGCCCGCACAAAATATAAGTACTCCATCATAATTCATACCCATATATATATATATAAAATGTATAGTTAAAGTGCAACAAGCTCAATATATTTTATTTAAAGTGTATCATATTTGAAGTTTTCCAGTCAATTTCACAGACGTAAATAGAACGAGTTATGAAACAGTGGCAAATACTGGTTCCACTATTTCTTTTGGTTCATACACAATGTATAATATAATGTAGCTGTAACAGTAATATTCAGAGTGTGTTTAAAAAGGAAAACCAATCAGCCGGCAGCCCCGTGTCACAAAGCAGATGGGCAGGACCCGTGACAATCTTTTCTATTTTAATAACTCCAATTAGCTCTACAGTACATGATTCTCTCTCTCTCTCTCTGTCTCGCTTATTTATTTCTTCTATTATTTTGTCTTTCTGAAATAGTGTCATATCATATCTCAGCTGCAGCGTAAAAAGAGAATGAAATGAACAAAAAATGGCAAAGAGTTAAATCAAATCAGGATAGTGCCGGTTTGGCTTACTACCATATTCTTAGTCTTCTTCTATTTACTGTTTTCTCACAGGATTTTCATATTTTAACCTTTAGGTACTCAAGTAAACCCGTGTGTGGCAAAAAGGAAATAAAGCACAAAATTTTATGATATTTTTTCTGGGTTCCAGCTTTAAGAATGACAGTTGTATCAGTTAATAAAAAGATAATATAAGAAAAAGCCATGTGAAATTTCTGAATACCATCTCATCTCTGTTCGTTCATTCTTTTGCATTCAGAAATGGAAGAGATACATTAAGTACATGGTTCCAGGAAACGATAAAAGTAGTAATAATATCTTCGTTATTAATTACAAAATAGACTACTTTGAGTCATTAACTAAACCAGGAACATCTTGCTTTTCAATAGCCTTGAGAATAAGTTGAGTGACTTCCCTGACATCCACAGCCTGTTGGTTTTGTGCAACAGCAATTGCTTCCATGGCAAAAAAATACTTGCATGAAACACTAGCTTGTAGAACATTCAGACCCACTTCATCCAACACTTCTAAAACTGAAACCAGACTGCTCTCTCCTTTCTTGCATATCACCCTTACTAAAAACTTTTCCCCAACCTGCTCCACTTTCACCTCCTGTGAGTTTCGTGCAGAAAAAGGTTAATAAATACTTTAAAGAAGTAATTAACACTGGCTGCAGAAAGAGAGAGATGATACTGACCTTGGGGACTTGAATGTGTTTCATTAAGTTTAAGTATTCCTTTTTGATTGCCATGAGGTTTGAGTACTCTCTTTTGATTTCTTCCAGTTTGAGTTTTAACTTGTAAATGTAGAGAAGACTGTCCATGATTATGGAACTCTTTTTCACCTGAAGAAATACAACACCAGAGATGTAACCAACAAATGTAAAGAAAAGAAGCTAAGAAGAGAAGGGAATATATAATATATATCAGAACATATATGTATATGAACGTGTTTGATTATATTACAGATTTGGAGTTGGTGAGAGTTCGCAGAATGTGAAGCTTTCTACGCAGTGCAATCCTCCTTTGTAGGTTGGAAACCATCTTTCTCTTTCTTTAATTTCACTTGCCTGTTTCATGTAGTGGTAACTGGTAAGTAAGATTTGACATGAGTGACCTGGCTTTTATAGCATGGGAAATTGGGGGAGTGTTGAATAGATATTTCTCGGGATCTTGGATTGCCAATAGCTAACTAGACCTACTTTATATCCCCTTGTCCTATCCTATATGAAATTACTGGCACCAAAAAGAGGAATTTTTCTTATTAAATGAAAAAAATAAGAAAGGACAATGGAAAGAGAATGCTGTTGCCTATTGCTTTGGCATTCGAGATAATATTGTTCTCAATTAATAATGTTAGGATTAACCCACATAATATAATAAGGAAAAAAGAAACGTAACTACTGTTAAATAATAATAATAATAATAAAATAGTATGAGTTTTGTCATATAGGAACGGAAGGGATCTGGGAAAGGGAATGAAGTAATAATGGCGAAAGTGTAATCAGTGGGTCAGTGAAGAGGGCTTAGATTTGCAGAGAATTCACGGGCCTCTCGTTTGGTTTCACTTTGTCTCCCAATACAGCATTGTGCAATCTGTAATATTGTAAGTGTCCGTAGGTCACATGCTCTGACACTATCACTTCTGTTTTATTCTTTATCGTTCTTTCCTCCCTTGATGCCCCTCACTCTTGCACTTAAGACAAACCAATCCATCTATCTTCTATTCAGCTCTTTCTCCATGTACATTTACATATTTATACATCTCTATCAAGGTGAAAATATATGTTTTACCATTAACTTATATAATTAATTTCAGATTCTATTTTAAATTTAATTCATTCTTTGTTACAAACAGACCATTTGACTCTTAAGGATCGAGAGGGGTTTATTGAATTTATTATAAAACGACAATTTTGATCTCATTTCATGAAGTAATGAAAAATATTAGTTTTTAAATGTATGTTGTAATGCTTATCCAGAACCCTGATGTTCTGTAATGCAAATTCTTGTTTTCTTCTGTTCTAAATTGATCCAAGAAAAGTACAGATAATTAAATATATAAACAGATGTTTCATCCCTTCAATTATTTTAAGATCAATATGTATCATTTTCACCAATTAAAAAAAAGCTGTCTCTTATTCCTTCTCATGTCTCATTATCAAAACCACTGAGTGGTTTGATTTCCTTATCTATATTCTTGTTCATTCCCTCGGGCAATGGGTTCATAACCTCTAGAATGCGAATCTCACGCCACAAAAATAAACTAAAAACTCTTAAAATAATTGATATCAAAACCGTTGGAGGTTTAATTTTGTTCGTTCCTTTGGCTATAAGAAGCCAAGGATGTAGCACCGTACTTAGCTTATAAAATGACAAGACTTGTCCACTTATAAAAAATTGTCGTTCTTCTTCACAGGTAGGCATGCATGCATGCGCACAAACGAGTAAAGGTAATAAAAAAAACTTAAAAGTACTTTGGATTTTAGTACTTGCATAATGCATACCTCCTCAAATCACTCTTGATAAGTTTGTTTTGTTATGTATAGTAGCCTTTCTTTTGAGGGTAATTAAGGGTTCTTTTCTGTCTCCTTATTTTCTGATATTTCAATGTTTAAAGTCCATTTTTCTTTTGTCCCTTTCTTCTTGACATCTCTCACTCATATGGGGAGAGGAGGCTCAACTTTCTATCAAATTATTGTCTTCACCTTGGGGCTCTTTCCTTTTTATCTGCTCTCGTCCATGGAATCAGGAGTCACATGAGCTACTTATTACTGGTGCTTGCAGGCACAAAGCTTTTTACTGATGAAAAAAGCTAATCTTGTTTAATCAAAATCATGTCCTAAGCATAGTCTCTATCAGTTTTTGTGGTGATTAATTTCCCGATTAGTTGAACATGAGAATGACTAGGGTAATTTTAGGAATTTTCTAGAATTACAAGGATGGGGACTCGTCCAGGTTGTGGGTCTTGAAAGACACAAAATATGTATTATGGTCGGGGTCCTGTCACGAGAATGATGGACAAATCTTCAACATAATTCAACTGAGAAAGAGTGTTTCATGTATGCAGATTGCTGGCCGTATAGGCTATATAGCATGTAGGATACTAACAAATAATTTTCTATCACTAATATTAAAGGAACACGAAGCGTTTAAACATAGATCTTTTTTGTTTAATTCACAGAAACATCTGCGAGCTTACTTACACGTCCGAGATTTCTTTTAGGGCTGATTCATGTAGGATTTAAATTATCACAATTTTACACTCTTTTTTTTTATAACCGGGTGCCCGGGTTAGTTTACCTGTATTTCAACTAACCTTTAGGATCTATTAAATATCCTACAAACCTAAAGAACTAAGTAAATCATAGTATTATTATAATAGATGACCCAATGTTTGAACCCAGATACTTAAAAAAGGGAGCAAACCCCCTTGACTGCCATACCAACTCTTTTGGGGTAATTTTACACTGGTTACATGTAAAACAGTAAAAGCTAGTCTTCTTTTTCCCATAAAAAAGAACAAGTGTCAAAATATAGCGAATCCCAGAATACACAAGAAGTTGTAGTTAAGATCGATAATGGTTAAGAAGTAAAGTGATATAATTGAAATATAAAGCTGCAATCAGCATACAAACAATTAAACTTTGTTGCTATCTACTTTTTACATATCTGTCATCTGTTGAAGAAATCAAGTCTTGTTATTCATCCCACTCACGTATACAGTATAGCCCTGCAAATTTGATCTGAAAATCCATCATTATTTTCTTGATATTCACTTGCTTGTTTGAACCTGCATCCCTAAAGATTCTTTAACATTTCCCCTCTTCCATAAAATCACAATGATATTACTCGCTATGATCATCTCGATGTAAACAGTACAACCCTCTTCCGACCAGCTCTTTCCTTAATGCACATTGAAAACTTTTCTACAAATTTTTATGAATGTACAAAACTACCGTGGTTTAACTTAGATCACATATATCATATACTAATTTTCTCTTTCAATAGGTTCGTGAGTTTTCTTATTGGATTAAGACAGAATTGATTTATAGTACGTATATAATAAACTTCATGTAAAAGAGAACAATTGTTGTTGACATTCAAATATGAGATGTTGATATTCTTTTTCCTTACCTAGAGAGATTACAAACATTATTGTGGGATTATATTTCCTTACTTAGAGAGATTATAAACATTATTGTGAGATTATATTTCTTTGTTTAGAGAGATTATAAATATTATTATGAGATTATTTTTCCTTAAATAATCACTGCACATTAGTATAAATAAATGGTATGAATACATGTAAAACACAATTCAATACAAATCAATATAATATAATTCTTTCTTCTCAATATATCTCTTGGACATACACTCACTCTATTCAATTGTTTCTCGTGCTTGCTCAAATATATCTCTTCTCTTGGGTATACTGTAACTCTTCTTCAGTTATCTTTTTTGTCCTCTTAATTCTGACAATTGTAATAATTTATGAGTGCAGCCTATAATCCAGCTATGCACACCAGAAAATAACTTTTGAGTCCACTAATTTTTGCCTGTACAAGCCCAAAAGAAAAAAAGAAAAAAGAGAACTAAAGAAATATAGTTTTGTATTTTCGGAGCATGAGATTGAGAGAGAGGAAGCCACTTGTCGAGAAAAAAAAGTAAAAAATCAACGTGGTCATAAAATCATGAATTGGTACGAGTGCAAGTACCGAATGTTGTTTACACTAGGAATTCTAGAAAGTGGAGGGAATAAAGCTAGGGGAAGCCTTATCCGGTTATCCCTACCAGGAAGGCATTGTTCCTTTGGATATACTACTTTGTTGATAGGAAGAGAGGGTCTATAATATCCAGTTTCACCCTAGCTTTTGTACAAGGTGTGGCTATGTTATTTCCCAGCGGCTTAATTCAGGATTCAGTTGCATTACAGGACAAACCTCCTTTGCCTCCTTTGGCATGTGGCCATTGAAACTGGTGTGCAACGGAAACACAAACTCTAATGCTAGCTATTGAATATAATAATAACAACCAGTAAAGCAGAAGTAAATGGTTAAAATAAATACAAAAATAAAAAATATCAAGAATTAACAAGGTTCGATATTGTAACTTACGTTTTCGGGCACTGCAAAAAAAACTTCACTATCTCCAAAGAAGAACATTATAAACATTTGAACAATACAACAAATACCTAAACTATATGAGCACAGAAACAATTTACCTAAAACAAAGAGAAACTCTCAAATACAAACTCCCAAACATGTGGGGATCCAAAAATGGATTTGGATACTCAAGCAAAAGCCTAACATCCCTATATATAGCTAACAAAAGCCTTTTGTTAACTAAGCAAAGTGAAATATAAGCACGAACCACTATTTTAAGTGTTTGAGCAAATTTTACAACAGACACACGATGCAATGAGAGTCATCGTGTTGCACTCCTGGTGTGCGCAATGCCAAATGTGATTTGTCCTGCAATTCTTCTGTAATTTCTTCATTGATCTATGACACAGTTACAAATCAGTAATTCTTTAAATTACAAATGTTGTAAGAGAGAATTCCTTCCACAGAGAAAGCACACACCTGCAGTGTCCAACTTCAGCACATCATTTGAAATTGGCTAGAGGGTAAGCACTGAAGCTAGTCATTATAACAACTAATTAGTTAATTGTTAGTTCTCTATTAATTTTAACAGTTGATATATATATCTTCCATAAACTAAATTCAGAGTACTACAGCTTCATATATGCTATCAAGATCGACTTGCTTTAGAACATCAAATTTCATATAATTTGCGTGAGTCAATTGCGTTACTAAGATGTCTAATTTGTCTATTTTGAATAACGTATATACATGTCTCTACAGATACTTCCAAGCCATTACTGATGACTTCAACAAGCTGTTGGGACTCAACTCTTATACAGATATACTGTCAATAACTATATCATCTTAAATAATTCGTTTCAAAAATCGATCGTACATTACATTCCAATTGGATACAAGAATGACAACCTACTAACAGTAACAGGTCGAGAGACACAAGATATTAACATCTGTTTATGAAATTAATTATATATTTTGTGAATGCTTCAATGTTTAGTGCTTACCAATTTAATAGGGATTTTGTCAGAGAAGAGTTTGATCTTGTTGAAGTGTGAAC